TGATCATCATGTATAGTTCTGTGTATGTAAATAAAAACACACAGAACTAAGTTAATATAAAAGTTTTGCATAGTTCTGTGCATGGTTCTAAGTTGATATAAAAGTTTTGCTTGTCGCTAAAGTCAAATTCAATCTTGTGGTACAAAAATTCAAAACTACAAAAACGACACTGTTTCTGTCTCAGGTAGTGAAATAAAAAACTAAAACAATATTAGAAGGATACATAAATCTAAATATTTCATTTTATGATTTTAAGGTAGAGAATGATAAATTAGATATGAAGCAAAGATATCTTTCAACAACTCAAATTATTTAATACATAATCAAAAAACCGATATATAAACAAAATGGAAGGTGGAAAAAGATTTATTAGTATACTGACTCTAACCAAAAAATTATTATATATTTAGGAAGATAAATGATAGATATGTAGGAAAAGTACCTATCAAGTATAAATTTCCACTTTTTCTACTTTTAGTTCTTTTTTTATTAAACAAGAATTTTTCAAAAAATGCACTTCACTTACAAAACTTCCACAATAGTATGATGCTGGCAATTTTAGCCTACTACAAAAGTTTCGCTAAATAATAGAAAATCAATTATTTCAAAACAAAAATATAAAAACACCATGCTACATAAACAATAGTAATTGTTCTCAAGGCATATAAAGCCGCAATTTATTTGCTGTGGTATTGAAAATTACGAAACTTTATTTGAAATAAGTTCCATAAATGATTGAGAGAAGACAAGAAAAATATAATCTATAATCATTATGGTTGCAAAATTATCCTTTTAAATTTAGGCAGTTAACTATGAAGATTCAATCCACGAGGAGGCAATAAACTAGAAAAGTAATCTCTAGTTTTAACTAAACTTACTTTGCCAGGAATGCATAGAGTTTTGTCATTTTCCACTCCATATGCAACCACAACTTGATTAAATATGTGTAAAATCATTTAGAAAATAAGAAGTTGTTCATTGTTGTCTTGTCTATAAACCTCAAAGCTAAACGCATGGTACAACTCATCGAAATTCAATAATGAAATGAAACACATCCAAGCCTACAAGCTTCAGATATAGCGAGATCGAACAATAGAGATCTTTTAAAAGTTCAAATAAATCATTGAGGATACTGTGTACAGTTTGTCTCTACGAGTTCCAACTGATATTATATCATTTACATTAATGGAAAACACGATTCGCGCCAACCACAAATGTGAGAGGAAGAAGGAAGCAGCTATGACACAGATGAGGGCGATTAGGAAGACGATTTGCACAAGAGAAAGAATGGAGCAACGAACTAGTGGCAAATGGAGCAACGAATGGAGCGGTGAATGGAGCAACGAATGGAGCTTCGAACTTCAGGTGGTTGCAAAGAAATCTTTGTGCGAAGAAGAAGAGAGTTTCTCAAGATACATCGAGGGTTTTCACAATTTTGGGGGATGGAGCGACGTCGGGATTGACGAGTTTTCAAAAGTTATATATTATATATGTCAATCATTACGATTGCAAGGAAGAAAAAAGAGTTTCAGATTTTGACATTCTTCATTCATCCTTTAGAAACAAACAGCAATTTTTGAATCAAATCCGCTAGAAGAGATCTAATATATTATAGAAATTATACATCACAAGGAGGAGGGATCTGCACCCCAGAAGTAGCTATCTTGGCATTCAAACACGACGAGACGATGGTAGTGTTTCTCGAGTTGGTGCCGCTGTAAGCCAAGTTAATGTCTTTCAGCTCGACCCCCTCGCACGGAAACAATGCGCTGCACTCCAACAACACCGCCACATTTGTCGTCGACGTACCGCGAATGTTCTTGAAGTGAACGTCGCTGATCTTCCACTTGGATTCCTGAAAGTTAGAGATTAATCATCGAGTTTTAGTTAAGGCTGTTTAAGAGCGAAGATAGATTATAGATTATAGATTATAATTATATGTTGTGTTTTGTGTTACCTTTTTTTTCTGTCTCGTAGGTTTGGTCGATGATTATGGGGTTCTTGATGTTTCTCATTATGTTGTCTTCGAAGATAATTTCCGTTGCTGATTTTGACACCATCTCTGCCCATGTCTTGATTCTAGCACCGTTGGTGGTATTGAAAATGGTGCAGTTCTTCACTAGAACACCAACCACACTTTTCTCCTTTGGTACTTGTCCAGGCTGCCCACACTAAAAGGATTCCACATTGAAAATATAATATTGACGAACACGTGTTTAAGTCAAATTTGAAAGTTGTCTCAATTAGGTTATGTTTTACTTGAGGCCATGTCCGAGGCCACAGGTGACGTTGGTGACGGTGACTTTTTCACAACTGTGGCCGATGGAGACGCAGTCGTCACTAGTGTCGATGACGCTATCAGAAATGGTGACCAATTTCGAGGTGGTGAGGTGCATACCGTCAGTGTTGGGGCTATTTCCAGGGGGCTGTTATCTTCATGTTGATCGCCGTGAAGTTATAGAAGTCGAAAATAAAAAATAGATCAAAACTAGGCTAGAGTTTCTTGAAGCCTTACAATCTGTTTATGACAAACGAGATGGCAAAAGAAAGTGTTCTATTATTCACTGGCTTCAACAATGAAAATAAAGAGAAAAATATATTTCCAAAAATTGCTACTGCTCCAAGGACAAAACCTATGTAAATATAGAATTGTGATCCTTTCCATATGGGGTTTAAATAATATATCCAAATTTGAGCCTGCTGTATTAGGTAACTAATTAAAGCTGCTGACAGGGAGAAATCACAAATTTTCTATGGAAGTAACTAATTAAAGCTGTTGACACGGAGAAATCACAAATTTTCTATGGAAGGAAGTTTGATTTAATTATTTATTCTGCTGGTTTTGAGGTGGCTGATGATTGAGCATTTGTTGCTGTAGTGAGAATGTAAATACTGATGTGACTTTTGTTGTATCCTCCATTTTTATCAGAAAACAGAGGTGTGGAAACCTTTGCTGTTCACAGAAGTCAGCCCGTCCACAATCGTATGGTTCAATCTCGAGAATTTAATCGACTACAAAAAATCAAAAAAAAAAAGAAGAAGAAGAAGAAAAAGAAATCTATTAGTTAAACATGATTATTTCAATATAATTAGCGAAAATGGAGAGGTGATTGGAGTTAGAGATTTTTAGTTTACAATTGGAAGACTTTGGTAGGAGACGTCCTTCTTGCAGTTGTTGTAGGGCCAGGCCGCGGCGCCTTGACCGTAGAAGACGCCGGCGCCGGTGAGGATGAAGTTTTTGATATCTTCGATGGAGAACCATTCTGGGGAAGAATATTCGCTGATATCGGTGGTGCTTTTACAGTTCCCTGAATTTCGGTGGTGATTGGCGAGCTTCGGCATGGGCCGGCAAATACCAGCGGACCCACTAGAAATCTGCCGCCGGGAATCAGAAGCGTCGCCGGACCGCTGGTGTTCCGGCAGGCTGCAATCCACGCTGTCATGAATGCCTGTGTGGCAAAATTAATCAAATATTAATTAGCAGTCTGATTAATTTGTTTGGATGAAACTTAAACCAAATTACAAAATCTTGTTATTTAAGTTAGGAAGTTCATCTTTTTATTAAACGACTTTCCGCCATTATTGATACCTATCTGTCATCAAGAGTTCGATTCAAGAGTCTAAGAAGGTGTAATTAAACAAATTAAAGTACTTTATTTTATTTTTTCTTAAGATCAGAGATAATTTTATTATTTGATATTTAATTTTCATACCTGAACATCATCATTCTTTCCATTCGCTTTAGCTCCATACTTTCTAACATCGAAAACTTTGCCGCGGCTGCTACCACCGCTGCTCAAAACAGCATCGACATCATTCACCACGTCGGAGTTGGTATCGAGTGCGGCAGACACCTTCCCACAGGACTGCCAAGCAAATACTAAGAAAAGGGTTTGAAGGAGCTTAAAACTTCTAGCCATTGCCATATAGTAAAGTATAATATATTCTTAAAGTTGCTTCCAAAGCTAGGGTTTTCTTTTTACAGATGTCCTTTCTTTTTCTTTAGCTGCAAAGTAAAGGAGAGGGTTTTTCTTGGATTTTTTGATTGATGATCAGAAGCCCTATTTATTCATGTTTAATGTGAAAACTATATTTAGAAAGTTAGAACAAAGTTTGATATTGGTTAGGCGTTGTGGGAAAATTCTAAGTATAGAATATATGTTAGGCTTTGTATCAGTAATTGGTAGCTTTTTTTAATTTTCTGCCTCCTTTAAATGAGTCGTTTAAGGTAACAATAATTCAGTTCCATAGTTCTGAAAACACATTCCAAATTGGTTAGTTTGACGTTCATAATTATGTGGAAGAATGTTGCTATGATTCTTTTTAATTATATCATCTCTAATTTCTTTGTTTTTTTGGCTTAGTTTATACTTTTGTTTGAACGTATCACTCTCTCTTCGTTTTTTTTTTTCTCCTTAAATTTCACTTCTAATTTGATGATATGAAGAGGAGAAATTCCCTACGTTTGAACTCTATACTAAAAGAAAAAAAAAATCTATACTCAAAGTAGGGTTAAATTATTTGGAGAAATATACATCTTACAATATTTTTTTTTCTAAGTTCGTGAGGTTGGGAAGTGACAACATACCTTTGTTGTGAGCTATATTTAAATATGATGTATATATGAAAATTTTAACCTCCAACCTCATAGAAATGAGAGATGTCTTTTATCACTGGGCTACATTTCATATGGGCTAGTCTCTAAAGGTTACTTTTTGGCCCATATATTATTAAAGTATTGATAACATGGTTAAATTTCATCGTGATCAAATTCTAGGTTGACTTAACATAATCAGAGTATGAAATATCATCTCGACTCCTCTAATGTGTTTTAGATTTAATAGTCATTTAAGACATATAATATATGTTAGAGAAATTATAAGTTTAATGTTAAAGAGACCTAACAAGTGTTTATAATATAAATAGTCTACTCTACCCATTCATAAATTTTCAAGATAGAACCCATAAGAGCTCAAACGAGTTTTTCCAGTACTATCAAAAGTTAGAAAAGCAATGTCTTTTATTAATCCTTCAATGAGATTTATGTTTGGCTGGGTAAGGTAGACCATCACAATATTCATGACTTACATTATTTGTCATGCGATCTGTCGGGTTACACATTACCATGGCCTTTAATAACACCGACGTTGCCGCTGCTCTTTACACCATGAGAAACAACAGCATGACCGAAGCTCTCTGCAGCATTTTGGACAACAACGCTACCGCCACTAATTGCAGCATTTCGGACACCATGAGAAACAACAGGACGACCGAAGCTCTCTGCGGCATTTTGGATAACAACGCTACCGCTGTTCTTTGCAGTA